GAGAGGAGGAGTGAGACATGAGAGGAGGAGTGAGAAAGGAGATAAAGAGTGAGACAGGAGAGGAGGAGTGAGACATGAGAGGAGGAGTGAGACATGAGAGGAGGAGTGAGAAAGGAGATAAAGAGTGAGACAGGAGAGGAGGAGTGAGACATGAGAGGAGGAGTGAGACATGAGAGGAGGAGTGAGAAAGGAGATAAAGAGTGAGACAGGAGAGGAGGAGTGAGACATGAGAGGAGGAGTGAGACATGAGAGGAGGAGTGAGAAAGGAGATAAAGAGTGAGACAGGAGAGGAGGAGTGAGACATGAGAGGAGGAGTGAGACATGAGAGGAGGAGTGAGAAAGGAGATAAAGAGTGAGACAGGAGAGGAGGAGTGAGACATGAGAGGAGGAGTGAGACATGAGAGGAGGAGTGAGAAAGGAGATAAAGAGTGAGACAGGAGATAAAGAGTGAGACAGGAGAGGAGGAGTGAGACAGAAGAGGAGTGTAACAGGAGATAAAGAGTGAGACAGGAGAGGAGGAGTGAGACAGTAGAGGAGGAGTGAGACATGAGCGGAGGAGTGAGACAGGAGAGGATGAGTGAGAAAGGATATAAAGAGTGAGACAGGAGATAAAGAGTGAGACAGGAGAGGAGGAGTGAGACATGAGAGGAGGAGTGAGACAGGAGAGGAGGAGTGAGACATGAGCGGAGGAGTGAGACAGGAGAGGATGAGTGAGAAAGGATATAAAGAGTGAGACAGGAGATAAAGAGTGAGACAGGAGAGGAGGAGTGAGACATGAGAGGAGGAGTGAGACAGGAGAGGAGGAGTGAGACAGAAGAGGAGGAGTGAGACATGAGAGGAGGAGTGAGACAGGAGAGGAGGAGTGAGACATGAGAGGGGGAGTGAGACAGGAGAGGAGGAGTGAGACAGGAGATAAAGAGTGAGATATGAGGAGTGAGACATGAGAGGAGGAGTGAGACAGGGAAAAACAAAAATTACAGGTATGAGTGATTGTGATTAATTTATGGAACAATTTGAATCGTAGTCCTGGCCTGGTGGAACTGAGATGAAGAAGTATGTATTTATACAGTATAAGTAAGCAAGTTACACCACTCTATGTAATGTCGTGGTTTGATGTAAATATGTATAATTGATAATAGTCGGGGGGGGGTTGAAGTACGTTGTGCCCAGTGGCCCCTGAAATGATAAACCGGCCCTGGCAGTGGTACAAAATGTGTGCCCCGAGGCAGTTTCAAATACACATATTTATACAGTATGTTATCCAAACTGGGCCAAGGAGAGAATGATGTTTGATAAACTGCAACAAGAATGATTACTTCTAAACAGATATTGTCCTGATCTTAAAACACTTTGTCTGAGAGAAAACAGAAGATAAAGAGTAAAATCATAAAACATGATTACATTTTAAGGTAAGATAAAGAGGTCAATGACTCTTGGCCTGAGAAGAAATGTAGGACTTTAAAGGATAATTTACTTTTCCAAGACACTACACGGAGCTGAAGCCTGTTGTGTTTGTGCAGACCTGAATTAGTGAACACCCATGTGGCAATGTTGGCCCCTGTGCTCATGATGTACTSCACATCCAGACTGGCCTCCACACCAGCTTTTCCTCCTCCCTGGGTGCCAACAACTCGAGCCACCTGAGAATGATGCTGGAAGGATCCCCCAAACATGGACATGAACTCGGTCAGGTCGGCGGGGTGGAAGTACTCCTCCAAGAACTAAAATGGTGTGGGGGGGGGGATTGACAGAGTTGTGATAACATAACTCTARGTGGGAGATGCTCGAAACAAACTAATCCAATGAGCGGATCGTACCTGAGCTACAGCCTGGCTGTTGTTCTGAACCGAGCCCACATCAGCTGCTGTCAGATTGTAGCGAGCTCTCAGAACGGCAGGAGTCACTCCCAGGTGAATCGAAGCTGAAGAATTTTGCAGCTCCCTGCTGATGTCGTTTTTAGGTGGGAGGCGGTGAAGCCCTCCGACTGCGGGGGGTGATAAAAACCATCAGAACTGATCCTGGCAGAAATATTTGCACTGATGTGCGGATAAAGAAATGAAGCTCACCAAAATCAAGGTGCTGGTGAACATCATCGTGAACTGCATAAGGAGCTGAGGATCTCACTARAGACTGTCCGCCTCTGACGTAACGATGGAACCTGCTGCCTGGAAGAAGCTTTTCTGCAACCCTTAGTGCAAAAAAGCAACAATAGTTGTCTGGACAACTGCACGTCTTTATAGCAGCCACAATCTCACTTTTATTTTTAAAATCATGAAAAAGTGCTTCTGCAGCCTCAATAAACGCTTCTTTCATAACTTCTCCATCGCTGAAAGACTTTTTGTGTTGAGCCAGGACCATGAGGCTTTCATAGCAGCCTTACCATATGCTGGGCCGAGTGAAAATCGATTGCTGTCCTGCAATCTTGTTTTTCAGCTCCCACACTTTCTGAGTCCGTAAAGAACTTTTAGGAGGGGAAATACGTTTTGTACCGTTTGTTCATCTTCTTGAAATGCAGCTTCAAGTTACCCTTTTTGGACAAGGCAGCGCTCGAATTACATATGAGGCAGATAGACTTCGAATTAGAAAAAAACAAAAAAATAGTCCTCCTCCCTCTCCGGGTGAAAATAATAACCTTTTTTTCCCTTGTTCGCTCATTTTTCATCCATTTTTTTTCCGCATTAGTAACTAACTGTATTACTCACAGGCCGGTTTTTGAATTTTATGCATTATTGCAGAAATATCGCACGCCAGTGGCTCCATGGACAAGCGCCAGACTATATTAAGAACCTCATCCAGCCTTATGTTTCGACTAGGAGCCTCAGGTCATCGAATCTGAACTTGTTGATGGTTCCTC